CTTTCAAGTATAGGCACCAGGGCTGGTTTACTTTGAGTTTGTTTTGTTTTCCTTTATTTTTCCTTTTTATTAGTACAAACAGCACATCAAAAAATAATGAACATAGTTACAATAGTTACGAGGGGGGAAAAAATAGTAACACAAGAGCAAACACAAGAAGAACAACAATGAAAATGTTTCTGCCCCCCCCCCAGACCATTTGTACAGACTAAGGTAATCATTACTTTATTAATAGAACTAGAAAAAGTGATACCAAATTGGAATGAAATAATTAATTTAAGGATAACATTGACCAAGAGAAAGTTGTGATTTGGTGTCCTAGAGTTTTGCAACAGTTAACCTGGCACCGAAAAGAAAAACAGCATGAATTTCTTGTGTAGCAACAGTTCATGTGTTGGGCGATATGGTTGGTATACATATCGATTATTAGTGAAGAACATATACTACTAAGACATATTTGGGCTTCTGGCAGATGTTGGCTGAGGAGAAGCTGATCTCAGCCCGCCATGCTGAGGAGAGGGACCGCGCAGAAGCTGATGCCCGTGAGAAGGAGACCAAGGTGTTGTCACTGAGCCGTGCCTTGGAAGAGGCACTGGAAATAAGGGAGGAGCTGGAGAGGCAGAACAAGCAGCTGCGAGCAGAAATGGATGACCTGGTCAGCTCCAAGGATGATGTTGGCAAAAATGTAAGTTTATTTATTTATTTAATTAGCCTGTCTGCTGCCTTCATCAGAGAAGCAGTTCTAGGTGGCTTAGAATTAAAACAGCAAGGCCTTGCTGAAAGGGGAAAGATGCTCTCCTTCTCTGAATACGGTTCGGAGAGGGCGGGATAAAGCTGAGAAAATCTAGAGCCTTAATCCAATTAAATATGCTTAATTTTATTTACTTTAACATTGGTATAATTGGTGTTTCTGAGAAAGAGACAAGTTTCTGTTGTTGATGGATGGGGCATGAAGATGTAGCATAATAGACATGGAAGAGGGATTCTCCCAGTACTATATGTCACAGAAGGAGAATGCTGTCAGCCCTATGAGGTAGATCAGACAGGAAACATGACCAGATGAGCTAATTTTACTTTATTGTAATACTACATTAATAGAATCTTGCTAATCTGAAAGTACACCTCTCCCCCCATCTCCTTTACAGCCCAGGAAACTAGGGAGGATGTCTTCTGAGCTTCTTGCCCTGTCCACATTCCTGCTGCAGGCACAGCTGCCTTTTATCTGACCATTCCCTTGGCTGCGTCTCTTTGCCCTGTCTCCCAAGGTCATTCCCACATACCATTGTAAATGCCACTTTTAAGATGCTTCCTCAATTTTTATTGCATTGCATTTCCTTTTAAAAATCTACTTTCCGACTAATCTTTTTTTTTCACTTTTTGAAAAGTTTTACAATGGTTTCATCTTTAAAACATTGCCTTACATTGAATCAGTTTATTGACATATCTAGCTCAGGAAGAGTCTTTCCCAACTGTACCAGGAGATGCTCAAATCTTTTGCATGGCAAGCAATATGCTGCACTGGTAAAATATAAACTGTCCTATACCTGCATCCTCAGAAAGAAGTTCTATGGAATTCATCAGGGTTTACTTTTCAGTAAATATGTGGAGAAATTCCCTTTTAATGTTGCTGCCCCGATAATACCAAAAAAACTAAAATTCCACAATTGGACATTTAAAATTCTCTTGCAATTAAGCTTTAAAAATCTAGTTAGTGCTTATTTTATCTTGATTCCTCATGTATTCTTATCAGGAGATTATTTTTCTTTTAGAAATCTTTATATTTACTAATTCAAGAATGTTGAAGTTTTCAGAGCATCAGGATCTGGGGCTGATGGCATAGGGAATGCACAATTTTTCAAGGTTCTTTTACTCTCCCTACTCACCCCTACAGGTAGTCCTCACCTAATAACCATTCATTTAGTGACCGTTTGAAGTTACAACAGTGCTGAACAAAGGGACTTACAACTGGTTCTCACACTTACAACCATCACAGCGCCCCCATGGTCACGTGATCGCAATCTGAGCACTTGGTAACCAGCTTGCACTTAGAACGGTTGCAGAGTCCCAGGGTCACGTGATCGCCATTTGCGACCTTCCTAGCTGGCTTCTGGCAAGCAAAATCAATGGGGAACTGCATGATTCACTTAACGACCACATGATTTGCTTAATAGCCACAGTGATTCACTTAATGACTGTGCAAAAAAAAAGTCATAAAATCAGGTATGACTTGCTTAACAACCGCCCTGCTTAATAATGAATTTTCCAGTCCCTATTGTGGTCATTAAGCAAGGACTACCTGTATCCCCATTCCCCCTTTCTATAAAAATACATTTTGTTTTCTCTCTCTCACTTCTGCTCGGGATCAGGTGCATGAGCTTGAGCGCTCCAAGCGGGCCTTGGAACAGCAAGTGCAAGAGATGCGAACCCAACTGGAGGAGCTGGAAGATGAGCTGCAGGCTGCAGAGGATGGGAAGCTGCGCTTGGAGGTCAATATGCAAGCTTTGAAGGCACAACACGAGAGGGAGTTGCAGAATCGTGATGATGCCAACGATGACAAGAAGAAACTGCTCAGCAAGCAGGTAGGAAGGAGAGGTGGAGGTGTATGGGCCCAAGCTCCTATCAGTCTTTGCTGAGCTAGATGTGTTCTTAGGTCAAAGGGTGGGGTTGGGAATTGCTTGATGCATTGCTTTCAAAGTCAGTCTCTTTCTGATTTGCTCTAGAGCAGTGTTTCTCAACCTTGGCACCTTTAAGCTGTGTGGACTTCAACTCCCAGAATTCCCCAGCCAGCTTGCTGGGACATTTGCCCTCCTTGATATAATCTCCAACCATTTTCAGAAATAATAAATAATGATTTCTCCAGTCCATCAGCTACTTCATTCAATACCCTAGGATGCAGTTCATCTGGTGCTGGAAACTGAAACTCGCTCAAAGTAAAGAAGTGTTCCCTGATCATGTTTCTGTCAATCTTAGACTCCAATCCTACCCATTCATCCTGCTTTCTACAGTTTCCCAGGGAAGGCTGCCCCAGAATACATCTGCTTTTCCTGTGCTACCTGTTAACATTTTGACATCTTCATTGAGCAGCTGATCTGCTATTTTTTCCCCCTTTTCCTTTCATTTTGAAGATATTTAGAGGACCCCCTTTTGTTATTCTCAGCATCCTTGCTAACTTTAGCTTATCTTGAACTTTTAGCTTCATGACAGGTCTACGGCTCCAGGCTACCTGTATATGTGCTGCCATCATGACCTGGCCCTTTTCCTATCTTTTCTTTGTATCCTTTTTTTTTGTTTTTAGATCTTCACTAAGCTTTTTGTGCAGCTGCATCGGCATCAGCATCTTCTGTGGTCCTCCATTTTTACCTTTGTATTTTTAGGATCTTCTTTTTTAGGATCTCCCACCTGTCCTTTCCCCATAAGCTTCTCCTGCTACCAGATCCCATTTATAACTATTCTGGGGTCATTAATATGTTTTTTTAAAATCTGGATTAATACTTGACCACACTCATTTTTACTTCCCTTAAAATCAAGAACTCCAACATTACATGGTTACTCCCCAAGTTCTTACTCATACTGCATCCTTAACTAAATCTTCTCTATTAGTATCAGTTAAGGATTACTGATCTTCTTATGCCTTTCTTTACCTTTTGAAAAAGAAAGTTGCCAGCAAGATAAGCCAGGAATTTTCTGGAAGGACTGTGTTTTACAGAGTTTGTCTCTCAATAGATGTAGAGACAGTTAAGATCTCCCTGCATGGCTCTTTGAAAGATCTGTCAGTTCAGTTACGTTTATTTGACAGTATTTCTAGCCCACCTCAATTCTGAAGGATTCTTGGAAGATACAACCCATGTCTTTTCCTTGGTTGAGCAAGCAAGAGTGACACCAACTACAGTATAACTTTTATTGTTATTGCCACATATTTTAATGCAGATTCTTTCAACAAGATTCCCAAGTTCATTCATTTGGACTTCTCAGCAGGAATGGATATTTTTAACATACAGTGCACCTCCTTCCTTTCTTTTGTTTCTGTTCTGTTTGAACAAATTGTATCCTCCAGTTGCTATTTTGCACATGGCAATCATGACTAGTAATTTAGTCCTGCCACCCACCCAGCTCCTTGATTGGACAATTTCTGAGAGATATAATCATTCCTGAGAAGAACAGAGGAAGAGGGAAAAACCCACAGTGTATTTTCTGGGAAATACACTGTAGGTTTCTAATGTCCCTTTTAGGTTTGCTTTCATGGCTGTGCTACAGAGATCTTGCTGTTCTGTCAAAGGGTTCCTGTTCCTTCTGAGAAGAATCAAGACCTCTGTGTCTTTTATTCCATTTCCAAGATGCAGCAGGATAGTGGGTTTTCAGAGCATGGCGTAACTTGGACTGCAGATCAGAGCTGCAGCTTTCTGCTGATGGTTTCTCCCTGCTGCTGTGCATCTCCAGGTGCGAGAGTTGGAGGCGGAACTGGATGCTGAGAGGAAGCAAAGAGCCCAAGCACTTGCAGCCCGGAAGAAGTTGGAGCTGGATCTTCAGGAAGCACAAGCACAATTGGATGCTACTAGCAAGGGAAGGGATGAAGCCTTGAAGCAGCTGCGCAAGTTGCAGGTATCTTTCAGTGTCAATGTAGGGAACTAGGGAGATAGAGCCTAGGGTTTTTTAAATGGCTATTTTATACTGTGTTTAACTTTCATTGCATAAGAAGTTGCATTTCTGTTCCAAAGAGCTTCCATGGAAAAGTTGGCATAGGCGACTTTGGAATAGGTGATGCAAAAAGGGGAAGAATAAACAGGTAGTCCTTGTTTAGCAACCACAATTGGGATCAGCAACTCGGTCATTAAGCAAAGCAGTTGCTAAGTGAAACTGCAACTGTGCTTATGATTTTACTTCAGCTTTCCTTTGCTTTACAGACCTGTGAAGGTCATAAATGTGAGGATTGGTCATAAAGTTACTTTTTCATCACCATCGTAATTGCAAATGGTAGCTAAATGCGGCAGTTGCTAAACAAGGACCACCTGAACCATTATTTTAGTTATTTATACATAAGCTTAGATTCAACAGGGTATCCGTCAGTGTTGTACTTACCTTTTGGCTTAAGATGTAGCCCCCAAACTGATGACATAACCTTGTGCTACTTTCATTTTTAATTCCAGGCCCAGATGAAGGAACTCTGGCGAGAAGTTGAGGAAGCCCGGGCAGCTCGCGAAGAGATCTTTATTCAGTCTCGTGAGAGTGAGAAGAAGCTGAAAAATCTGGAGGCAGAGCTGCTGCAGCTTCAGGAGGTGAGCAGGAGGCTCTGCAGACCATGGGGTTGAACAGGAATATAAGTCTAGGAGAGATGCGCACAGGGAAAAGAGCATGTACAGACACGCACAACATATATACTAATCCAGTCTGAGTCTCCAAAAGACATCTGTTAACAAAGTAGGATCTCTTAGCTTCTGGTAAGTGTAAGATGGGAATCCCTGCTTTGTTGGTGGGAGGGTTCTAAATCAGGAGGTAGTGGGAAATATATTGACTGGTCACGGATTCTTCCAAGAGGTTATATCCCATTCTCATCCGCGTCAGTCTATCTTTTGCTCCATGTTTTCCATCGCTTATAGGAACTAGCGGCATCTGAGCGAGCCAAGAGGCAGGCCCAGCAGGAGCGGGATGACCTGGCAGATGAGCTGGCCAATGGAAACAGTGGCAAGTGAGTGCCCGGGCACCTTCCTCCCTTACGCCCACCTTCTGAGCCCAGTTTCCACCCTTCTGCCTTTTGCTTGGAATGGATTGTTCATAATTCACCTGGCCCTGGATGGATGAATAGCCTCTACACTGGTGTTTAATTCTACAACTGCCATAATTTGTTATTGATTTTTACAGCGAATCCATGCATTATTACTGACAGCCTGTTGTGTTTGCATCCATTTTTGTGACTGCTTTTCAGAATGGTAGAATGCAGTCTTCAGTACCAGGGTCAGTCTGTGCTGGGGAGGCTAGCCAAATGCTACTTGGGTTTTGCATCCCTCTAATTCTGAAGCTTCTTCTCGAGAAAGGGCATTATTCCTGATTATATTATAAATAAGATGATAACCCTTTTCCACAAAGAAATTTGCTGGTGGAACAACAACTAAGAGCTTGTTATGATGCTGCTATACTGAACAGGAGACAATTAGAGGGTAAAACCAATATTGAAAGGGATCTTTGCTAAAGGAGGTCATTTGAAATGAAGGGTTTTAGCCATTAGATGGCCATTTTGTCTGACACAGAACCATGGTTGGTTCCTCTCTTTTAAGGTTGCAGCCATGGTATTGCAGAAAAGCAATGACTCAGTGGTACTAAGGAATAATGGTGTAGAACAGCCTCAAATGCTCTTCTTGAGGATATCCTCTTAGTTTCCTGCCAGGCACAAAGCCCTAATTATTCATTGTCTTTCCCCATCACTCTTTCAATCTCCACTTCAGGTCAGCTCTTCTAGATGAAAAACGCCACTTGGAGGCAAGAATTGCACAGCTGGAGGAGGAACTGGATGAAGAGCAAAGCAACATGGAACTCATGAATGACCGCTACCGTAAACTCAGCATGCAGGTAAGATTGCTATTTCTAAGCCCCTGGCCCCCAGTTGAATCCAGACTGTGCTGGAACCTCCTTCTGATTTCTCTCTCATTCTGTCCTCTGTGCAGGTAGAAACGATCACCACCGAATTGGCAGGGGAGCGCAGCTTCTCTCAGAAGGCTGAGAATGCTCGGCAACAACTGGAGCGCCAGAACAAAGACCTGAGGGCCAAGTTGGGTGAGATGGACTCATCTGTGAAGTCCAAATACAAGATGGCAATTGCAACTCTGGAGTCCAAGCTGGCCCAGCTGGAGGAACAGTTGGAGCAGGAGTCCAGGTAATGCAGTGACACCAAGGCTGTCTTGCATGTGCATTCTGGGCTCTGAAGATGGCTTGGCAGAATGGCTAGAATGCAATGAGAATAAGGTCTTACATCTCAGGTGGTGGCATCTGGCCATCACCTTTTGATGGCCAGATGCCACCCTGAGTGTTGTTGTGGGGGGGTGGAAATCCAGGGGCTACTTTGGATGAGCTGTTGATTCAGAGTAGGTGGAGCCATGTTTTGCAAATGGCCAGGACTGTGGCTTTCTATTTTCTTCCTCAGTTTGTGGGAGGGAGTGTTAATTTTTAAAAATATTGTTAAGCCTATTTTAGGGCTCACACTACCATTATCATGTGTTTCTGCCTCATGGTGGCAAACAGGAAGACCTTAGAAGGAAAACAGGGATCCAGAGACCACAAGCTATCCACTCATGCTGTATGTTTTCATTGTATGGTAAAGAATAGCACATATGTGTGTATTCGGTCCTCCTACTATGTTGTAGGGGATAAGGTGGAGCAAGGAACCATAGAAATACTCTTGTTGGGGCTGGGAGGACCCGGAGGATTAAGAGTTTGTTGGTTGTATTCATACTGTGGAGTAAGCCCACTGAATTCAGTGGAACAGTAAACTAGTCATAACCTTCTTAAATCCATTTGATTTCAATGGCTCTGCTCTAATATGAATGACTCCTTGTGGATTTATCTGTTTCTCCTTAAATTTCCTATTTCATAGAGAGAGGATGCTGTCAGGAAAACTTGTGAGGAGAGCAGAGAAGAAACTCAAGGAAGTGATCCTGCAGGTTGACGAAGAGAGGAGAAATGCTGATCAGTATAAAGATCAGGTACATTGTAGATGTGCTAACCCAATGTGTTTCAAACTTGGGAACTTTAAGATGTGTGGACTTCAACTCCCAGAATTCCCCAGCCAGCCTTGCTCAATTCTGGGAGTTGAAGTCCACACATCTTAAAGTTACCAAGTTTGAAAAACACTGGGCTAACCTATCCTTATTTTTTCATCCTGGACAGTAGTTTCAGGGTTCAGCTATTGGAAATGGTGAAAGAGTAAAAAGGGAAAACTTGCTTTTGAAGAGTGGCACACAAATGTCTGTTTTCCTGGTTTTTTTCCCAATGGCTTATTTTCAGATATATTATATATTTTCCCTTTGTTTTGCATGTTTTAAGCAAAAAAAAGATAACCGAAGCTATGCCATAAAGAAACCTAAAACTGTATATGTAGAACAAATCTTGCTAAGAAGTATTTAAAACAACTCACCAGATTCTTTTTTCGGAATCTTTTTCACTTTTATAACTTTTGATACAAACATGGTGAGGCCTCAGTAAACCAGGTGAACTTACAGAGAGTTACACTGAAAGTTTTTTCATCTCAGGAGCAAAGATTTAGGCTTTGCTTCTCTGGCTGTTTTCGGCAGGTTGAAAAAGGCCACCTGCGGCTGAAGCAGCTGAAGCGTCAGCTGGAGGAGGCGGAAGAGGAGGCCTCGCGGGCCAATGCCAGCCGTCGCCGCATGCAGCGTGAACTTGAGGATATCACTGAATCAGCGGAATCCATGAATCGCGAGGTCACCACCCTGCGGAATCGCCTCAGGTGAATAGCGTTGTGTGGTCAGGGCTCAGCAGTACAGGTAGTTCTCACTTAACAACAGCAATTGGGACTGGAATTTCCGTTGCTAAGCAATACAGTTGTAAAGTGTGATATCATGTGACCGCACCGCTTAGCAATGGAAATTCTGGCACTTCTGGTTGCTGTCATTAAGTGAATCAGCATGGGTCATTAAGCTGGGACATCATGTGGTCACCATTTGCAACCTCCTGCCGGCTTCCCCATTGACTTTGCTTGTAGAAAGCCAGCAAACAAGGTTGCAAATGGCGATCACCTGACCGTGGGGTTGCTGAGACTGACAGAAGTACAAGGACTGGTCGTAACTACCATTCGTTCAGCATCATCATAAGTTCAAATGGTCACTGAACGAGTGGTCATTAAGTGAGGACCACTTGTAGTTGCATTAAAACAGTATGCTTCTCTATAATTTTAGCCCAAACCAGGTTAGGAAAGATTGTCCTGCTAATCTCTCTCCATGTGTCTTCCTATTCTGACATGCCCGTGGATACTGTACATTTTTGTCCCTGTCCTTCCTTTTTATTTATTTATTTATTTATTTTTCAAATTTTTATGCTGTGTTCATATTTCTGCCATCCCTTGAGGGAACTGAAGTCTACTTGTAAATATGCTCCAGCAAGGATAGACAACGTGGTCCCTCCAGATGTTTTGGATTACAAGATCCCACACCATTAGGCAACTCCAAACCATCTGGAGGGCTACAGAATATTAATTCAGTGCCAGAAGGAGAGAGAGAATGAATAGGAAATCCTTGGAGCTGAAGTTTACATCTGGAAGTTGCCCACATAGGCAAACGCTAGTTCAACACATAGCCTTAGAACATCTGGTAAAAAATGAAGAGCTGCAACCAGTCATAATTGCAGATGCAGTGTGACATTTTAATAGGAGAAAAAGCAAGAGCAGAACAGTTTGAGATCAGCAGTGCCACCAGATAGTGGAACAGTTTGGGTGTAGTTCTTATTTTCTATGTTTACAACAGGAGCTGATAGTTTTTTATTATATTTTTGCTGGGTCTGGCTATCTGGAGGAGTTCCACAAACCATGTGGGATATATAGAACATTCACAACAGCTTTCCTCAACCTGTGGCTCTCCAGAAATGCTGGAGCTCAGCTCCCATAAATCCTTCCCATCTAGAATCTTAGTTTTCCCTAAGATTTCTACTGAGAATGTAAGATCTAAAAGGTTTTCTGTTTCACTTATCCCACGGAAGGGACATCAGCAGTCATATTCTCATTCTTAGGGAGCCTGAAATACATTTTGATGTGACAGTAGTTTTATAAGGAACATTGGTATGCTGCTGTTTCTCCAAGGAGTTCATAAAACCCTGTGAGATTGGCCAAACTGAAAGATAGTGACTGGATTAAGGTCAGTCACTGAGATGTGTGCTCAACCACGTTTGATTTGAACTTAAACCTCTCTGGTTCAAATTCAGCCCTCTATATTGACAACATTATGCTGGAAGTGCTGGAGGTGTAAAGCAGAGAAGAGTGTTCCTTCTCCAAAGATGACGCAATGTAATTCCCCCGACTGCAGCCGTTTTTTAAATCTGGTGCTATGGTGATTCTGCACACCGTCTAATATTTCCCCTTAAGTGAGAGGCTCACTCTGTAACCACTTAAGTCCTCACCCCACCCCAGCTTAAAATGAGTCCTTCTGTTTCCAGACGGTTCTTTATCTAAAGCAATGGTTCTTCTGCTCAAGAACCTGAATTACCTACATGGCTCCTGTCTTGTTTACTTTCTGATACTTCTGCTCCTCTTTCAGTGTGGCATTCTTCCCAGATCACGTGTTCATGTTTGCGTCTTTCCTTTTTTTTCCTTTCTCTCTTCCATTTCATCTTTTTCTCGAACCAACAGCAAGTTAGAGCGACGCCAACGAAAGTATGTTCTCACTCTCCCTTCCCCCCTTTCTGCATGCATGTGTTGTGCAGTTTTGAGGTGGGATTGTGTATGCGTGGGTGTGCATTTGCAGCACAGAAACTCTCAGCTTCACTGTTCCCAGTTAGAGTTAAAACAGACTTGACAGCAGAGATCCACGATTTGGCGGCCTCCTGTTCTTATATTTTAGTACAAAACGTAGCTGTAGAATCCCCAATTTATGACTGGAGGAAGGGGTGCTTAATTCTTTCCCTCATCCAAGAAAAATGTCTAATTTTATTTTACAGGTTATTTGTGTAGCTACACTAATCTGGTTTTCTCAGGCTGTGAGTGTACAGTCTGAGGAGAGAAAAGATCCTTTTTCAGCTGAAGAGGTCAGGAATTGAATGTGGAACTTTCCATGTACAAAGTCTGGGCTATACCACTGTGCTGCAGTCCATCATGTTTGCATACACACATACACACACACACAGATTCACAAACATTATTATACTGCAAGCCTGGAAGATCAAGTGGCTTCCATATGACATTTCCAGTATTTCCCAACCTCCCCCTTAATTTGTTTAATTTGCTTTCTTGCCCACTCTTCAAGGAGTTGAGGAGGTAATACAGAGTTCTTGTATTTGTCTCACCTGCTTTAGCTTCTCCACCACCTGCGAAGAGGGCTACGTCTTCATGGCTGGGCGGAGATTTGAATCCAGGTCTTTGGGGTTCCCCTCTGACGAGCTGTAACTAGGCCCCCCTGGTTCCCCCAACGCTAATAGCAGCTGGGAGACAATTTGGAACTGGGCAATGGCACAGGGACTAAGATTTAAGCACTTCCTCCTCCAGCCCTGCTGTACCGATCAATTCGATGTGTGGGCTCTTTCCCTGCTTTCCAGGGCATCCCCTCTGTTTTTTGCCAGGTCTGGAGTACCTATAGTCAATGTCTGTTTTGGCCCTCGGCAAAAAGAGCTGGAGCGCTTGCTTGATGTGTCTGGCAACTTTGATTCCCTCCCCAAGGGAATGCTTGTACTATAGCGGGAGGGGGCAGAGAGAGCTTGCTATCCATGTGAGCTTCTAGCCGTGTCTAGCTAACCCAGCAAAGTGTGTGTTGGGGGGGGATACAAAAATGCTGAGTAGGCTTGTGTGAGCTATTCTGTGTGCCTTCTCTCTAGTAACAAGGGCCCTTGTGATTTCGGTAAGTGTTGCTTCCTTTGAAGAGCTTCTGGGGATTTCAGACCCAGCCAAGGGTGTAGAGCAAAGGTGTTCTACAGGCAAAGGCGTTTTTCCCCCTTCCCAGAGAATAATGCTTCTCTTCTGGCTTCGCTGCTACCTACCAATAGCCCTGTCGTCACACTCTTTTCCAAATTGAAAAAGAACAGAAAGCACCAGCAGATGGAGGGTTCGGGTTCAAAATGCATGGAGATAGGTGGGAAAGAATGAGACGGTGGGCTGCCGGTGGCAGTGATATTCTTGGCACCAACTATCATGGTGAACACATTTAAACTTGTATGCATCGCTTGAAAACTTGGATTGGGGGGTTTCACTGCATGTACATAACTTGTATTTTAATAACATTTTTCTTCAATACTGGCATTATCCTAAAATGCATATTATAAAAAACAAAAGCTAGAGGCTTATTAGTGAGTTTCCAACTAAATCAAGTGCAGGGTTAAGTCTCTAAGTTGAGATACTGTAACTTAATTTTAAAAAAAGGCCAGAGAAAAATGTTTCTACACCCAGGTGGAATAGCTATCCTTTGCCCTCCTAGTTTTAAAAATACACAGAACATGTTATCCTCTGTTATATTCTGATGTATTCATATATTCTCTTTTTTCCCCACAGCTGATTTGGGTTTTTTTGGGGGGGGGAATACCTAAATGTAATAACAGTACTAGCCCATTTAGCAGAGACTGACAAGGAGTGCTTACATATTTTTTGGGTTACTGAGCCTTTCATTAGAGGCTTCTTTCTTGAAGGCTCTTAATTGCATAACATTCAACCTGGCACAACATTAGTAATTAATTACCCCTTAGCATTAATCATCCCTCTTATGGAGGATAAAGCGATTGATTAGTGGTTTCCTCTTTTTTTCTTATGGAATAGCATAATTTCACATTTAAAAAAACGAAACAAACGAAACTAGTTATTACATAGACACACACATACACACACCCTGTGAACCGATGAAAAACTTTACCATGTACTGTTGTGTTGAACAGAAAGCAGTCAGAGGCAAAGGGTGCAGAGAGTTCTTAATTAATTAAAGTTCTGAGTGCCTGTGCTAAACAGGAGGGACCTCTGAGGGTCTTGCCTATGGAGACAGCTAAGTGTTATAATGTTAGATTGTGCCGTGCAAACAGTGCTGCAGAAATGCTGAATGTGGAAGCTATCAGAAACAGAAGGCCAGGCATCTCTGGATCCCACCAAGAAGCTGGATGGGAGAATAACATGAGTGGAACAAGCAGGCAGATAGAGACCGACATTGCCCTGAACCTTCAGGACTGAATGAGACTGACCTGGCCATGGTGCTCCCTGAATGCAGATGGCAGTGGCATTGCGCTATGCTCCGCACCTCTCTGGTGCGTGCCCTGCTTTGCTTGGCATTAGCAGCCTGACAGGCCGTGGCTTTAAACTGAATAACTGGAGCTGCAGGAAGAATTTGTACAGATTTGGGCAAACCCTGTAGGGGAAATGCTTCTAGCTTCTTCGAACTTGGCAAAAGCAAAATACAAAACCCAGAACCACCCAAAAAGTGTTGGGTGTTCACTTATGAGCCACTCTTTGCCTTTTCTAGCCCTGGCTTAGCTAATGGAGCGAATCCTATATGGGGGGGGGCGGTCTTTGTGTTATAGGGTGGGCGAGTCCAGCTTATAGGCAGGATGCTAGCTCAGGTTGAGTGCTGTAATATAATGGCAGCCTCTCTCTTCTCTGCTATCCCGTTCACAGACGCACACCTCTGAGCTTCACCACCCGCACTGTGCGGCAGGTTTTCCGTCTTGACGGTGTCTCAGATGAGGAGACGGAGGACCCAGAGAGCGACTCCCCATCTACAAACCACCAGCCTTCTCAGCCCCTGGCACCCTCCCAAGGCCAGTCACCAGTACCTGCTGCTGAAGAGCCAGCCCAGACTCAATAAGTGGGAAGAGTCAGGCTCCAGTTGGATGGGGTGGATTTGGGGTGGGAGAGGATAGGAACCCTAGCCTTGCACAATATCTGACACCTATAAAGGAAAAGAAAAAAAAACACTCCCCCCTCCCTTCTTCCCACTTGCAATCTTGGATCTCCCAGCAATCTCTTTGTATCCAGCTGCACTTTAATATCAGTCACCCCTGAGGGGTGGAAAATAGGGGGAGAAGGAAAATGTGGGGTCTGGATTTTCACTCTATTCTTCTTAATTGAAACATCCCAACTCGAATAGCCATTGTTTTCTCTTGCACCTTTATTCCCCAACCATTTTCTTATTCTTTCCCCAACTCTAGTCTGAACATGCAAAAGATTCCTAGCCCGTGGTCAGAAAGGAAATTGGGCAGCCAGGTGGTTCACGGACACAACGTAGGGTGGAAATGAATGGCCCTCTCCCGCTGTGCTGTGGCTTCTTGGGTAAAGTTGCTGGTGCTGAGATGCATCCAGCTTTTCCCCAGAGACCCCCTATGTACCACTGAGAGGCAGCTATGCCTGGGTTGCCTTCTGCTCCCCTGACCCCAAACCTCTCTGCTTCATCTCAGTCCTAGTTTTGTGCTCCCTGCTCCTGGGGACAGGGTGAGCTGCAGAGGCTTCTCAGGTTCCTTCACATGGAGGATGTCCAGAATTGATCATCTCTACTTCTTCCAGCAGACTTGGCTTGCTGGAGTTATTTTCAATCTCCATTTGCTGCTAGAACCTGCCCAAGTCTGGACTAACAGGAGTAAATGAACTGGAAACCATTCATCTCAGCTTGCCTTCTCTGTTCTGATTGGGGACTTGGGTGCCATCTTCTCTGCATATCATGGCCAGCAGCCAAAGAGCACTTTGATCTCTCACCTCCTCATCCTTTACCCCCAATATTGCTGAAACTGCTATGGTGGTGATGGGTGATTTAAAAAAAAAAAAACTATGACAAGAAAGTTAGGATTTGCAAACCCTGTAATAACCAGGACAAGCCCAAAATTGCCTATCCTTATTCAACCTGAAGACTGCCCATTGTGTTTGGGGGGGGGGGAGTCAGGTTGGAGAAGGCTCTTCTTACTTATTTCATCTTGTTTAATTGCACATATGCAGAACTTTATATGCATCCAATGTTGAATTTGGGTTCTGAACATAAGCATCCAGTAGAAGCTGCAGCAACATCAAAGTGACATGCATAACATCCCCTGTTCTTCCTTGTAGACATCCATGGTTCTGAAGTGTCTGTCCTTGCAATAATTGCTTTCCCCCTCAAAAAGAGAGAGAACAAGTATCTAACCAAGTAGAGATATACCTTAAAAAGAGTCCATGTTGTGCCTCCATTTCTTTCTTCTGATCTTCAGATGCTGTTGCTTCTGTCCCTTGAAACTACTTGTCCCTTGTGTTACAATCATCTGCTTTCACACCTGAAGCTATTTCTGCTACCTACACAGCTCCTTATCAAAATAGACATCCAAATTCTCCACCACCACCCCACCCAAATTCAAACATTAGGCTTTACAGTAAGACAGATGGAGTTAAACATTGTATAATTATAATCCAGCAGGGTGTTCCTGCATAATAGAGCTGAGATTGGGACCTGATTTACCGAAACAGATTCTTTGCTTGCAATAAAGTCTGATCAATACTTGGGTTCACTTATTTTAGGAATAACAAGTTTGTCTCTCTATAGACAGTGCTGTTTCACACCTTGAGTTGTCTCCACACATAGATAGCCAGCATGTGGGGAAAAACATGATATTTGTGAAAACTGCATGATTAGCCTCTCTTGCAATCCATCTTTGGAAGCAACTGCTGCTTCCATCTAAACAGTGTCTGTTGTATGAAGCAGCCCTTGTCATAAGATGTGAAAGGAAAGCAAACCAAGAGCCCTCTAGTTTTGCTCATTGCAGCTTTTAATTCCTTGGCAGCGGTGCACAATCCGTGCCATGCTCATTGCACACCCCTTTATTTATTGGACAAGACTACAGTTGATTGTTACTTGGTGCGCCCCTGGTTTGAAACATTGCAGTCCAATCCTATGCATGTTTACTCAGAAGCAAGACTCTGTGTTAGAAGGGGCTTACTCCAAGGTAAGTGTATAAAATACCAGTTGCAAACCTAATAATAGCCAGCACTTACCTAGCACTTTAGTGTGTTCAAAGTACAGGTAGTCCCTGGGTTAAGAGCGCCCAGTTTAAGGACAGCCCATAGTTAAGAACAGAGCCTATTGTAGCAAAATTCGAATTAAATACACAATGATTCGAGTTAAATACACAAGGGTTTGAGTTCATTACACAATACTACTTACACAGTATTATACAATAGTACTGTTCCAGTTTACATACAAATTCCAGGCCTTGGGAACGGAACTTGTTCTTAAACTGGGAACTACCTGTATTTCACATGTACAACTTGGTATAAAGGTTGGATTTAACCTATTACGTGCACCTTTTATAAAGTAGCAGCAAATGGGTAGCAAGGCAAAAACTAAATAGAAACCCAGCCTAATTCTGCACTTAAGAATTCACTACTAAGGGTTTGCAAATCTTAGCTTGGACTCATAGTAACACATCCAGAGGTATGTGCTTCTCTGGGACTAGGAATTGGCTCTGGAGGTGGGCCTGCCTTCTATATATATATATATTTATATATATTTTTGGCATGGTAGTTTCTTGTCTTAATTTGTTTTAATTCTGTCTTATTATTTTATTTGTTTCTAGCAAAAGTTTTTTTTCCCCTTCTGAACAATATTGTTTTACTTCAAACCCAGTGGGTTTGCATTTTTTAAAATATTTTTGTCTCCCCTTCTCTCTTTTCTTTGCTGTTTGGATCTGTTTGGAATTTTCCTATCCTGATGTAAAGGGCCATAGCAAATACCCTGCTCCTTTTTGTTTTGTTTTGTTAAAAAAGAAAAAAAAAGTACTTTCTAAGAAAAAGTATGACTTCTATTAAAAGCTCATCTCAGATAACCAGGCTTCTGTATGCACATTTATTTGGGTTCTGATTTTATTTTTAATCTTGTTGCAATGTTTGGTTTATTGTGGAAGATTTCATACACAGTGATGGAATTACAGAAATTTCTCTTGAAAAATCTGTTAGCTATTCCTCTGGAGCCAGGGCTATCCAATGACCTGGGATAGACATGACTGTGTCCCTATTTCAGTTTAGTCAAACTGGGATTATAGCTCCCAAAATTTCTAACTCACCTGGCTTGGAGTATTCTGAGTGGGGAGGCAGTGTTAATTATTTGAACTACTCTTTCTTTATTTCCTTGCTTTTGGAATATATGGAGTTTCTTCTTACCAGATCACTGGTCTGCATTTAGTTAAACCTCACCTTCAAAAATTGGGACTGTGTCCAGTTCTGGGTATAATATTTTAAAGATTATTCAGATGGATTGTTCCAGGTAAAAAGAATGATCAGTGATCCACAGGAATAATCAGTGGACTGGAAACTAGAAGAGGAACTTAACTCCCTTTTGCTGGAAGTGTTCAAGCAGAAATTGGATAATCCCCCAAATCACAGATTCTCTATTTGGATTCTTGCCCTGAGGACACCTTTCTGCTTGGTGATCAGACATAGGCTGGGTTTGTATCAAGCCATTATGTGGTTGCTTGGTCTTGGCTTGTGTGAACCTGGCAGAATGGTTTATGAACCATAAGTTATTTGACATATTGTGAATCTTGTTAGTTGTCCTTTGCTCAGTGGACAATAAGCACAATGTGCTTATAATAACCAATAATTCATGTAACCCAATCCAACCAGCTGCAACCCTCCATAGCCTTAGACTGAGAGAACCCTTCACACTGCTTTCCACCTGATCATTTACATTAGAGGAGCCAAGAACTGAGCCCAAGACTCTACTTTTTGATAAATACATCACCTTCATGGAAGGTTCTGGTCTTTGATCATTGAAAACTGCTGGGACAGGATTGGGGCTAGATCCCAAGGGTCTACTAAACAAGAGGACCCCCAATATGGTCTGGGAAGATCTGGAGGACACAAATTGGCAAGAGGCTGCACTGTAAGTCTTTTCCTTAGCCAGGAAACTATTGGCATTATAGTCCATGGAAGGCCAAGTGCAAAAGTGCACGTGCTGCAGCCATCAAAGCTCTTCTGAGAGTTATTTCCCAATTGTAATATTTTTTTATTATCAAAGCCACACAACTCCATAGAAACTTTTTAATGTGGCAGAAGGGGGAATGCTGAATTTGCGAGGAGTAATCATTGCCACCATAATTAGATGCTAATGAAATCAATTTAGCTATTCACAAAATCAGACCAGCCATTCATGAAAGGACGAGCCTTGCTAGCTCAAACAAAAGGATTAAGTTTGTATTTATTAATCAGATATACAACCAGATTTTTGTACAGATGCTCAGGGACAATGGTACAAGATGAAGGCAATAAAGCTTTCTCTTAGTGGACTTCCCATTCTGGATAAGGCAAAAATAGATTGGTACCAAAGGGCCTGTGGTGCAACTATATTTAGCATCCTTGTATTTATTACTTAGAACAGGGGTCCTCAAACTTTTTAAACGGGGCCAGTTCACGGTCCCTCAGAATGTTGGGGGGCCAGACTATAATTTGAAAAAAACATGAACGAATTCCTATGCACACAGAGGATCCCTCCCGCAGAGTATGAGGAGAAGAGGAGAGCCGCCGGACTCAGCATACCTGTCACGTAGAATAGTCCGGCTCTGCGATCTCCCTCCTCGTGCATCGCCTGCAGCTCCCGACACAGCCCCGACACTTCTGCTTCTGACAGATAGCAGTGGCGGCCAATCAGGCGGGTGGGCTGGATAAATGACGCTGGCGGGCCGTATCTGGCCTACGGGCCGTACTTTGAGAACCCCTGACTTAGAATATAGTGTATGTTAGTAGAGATCTTACTAATTCACATTCAAAAGATGACTTATTTTCACAAAAGGTTTCATGATGCTTAGCGCTTTAGTAAAGCATTTTTGCTACCATCCCTTGTTGCCTCCACCCCATTTCTGAAACTGCTCAGAGGACAATGGGTACTTATGACATTTGACTAAGAGGTTACAAAACCAACATAAGAATCTGTTCTTAATCCATCAGCCCATTGGACCCATTCTGGAGTGGTGTGCCAATGCACATTGCTGATCTTTGAAAACTGTTGGATTTACTGTAGGTATGTTTTGCACGATGGTTTGGTTTACACTAGAGAAGGCACACTATTAGATAAAATGCTGAACTAAAATCAAATACAAACACACAACCTACACTCTAAGGTATTGTCTTAGTTTAGATGCTGCAGGATACCTTAAAACAATTAATGTATACAAGGTAAACGGTCAGTAACAAGGTTATTCTATGCAGATGCACTGAAGAGAAGTGATGCAGGTGACCCGAACAACATTCTATTCCTGGATTTAAAAAAAAACACCTTTCATAAATTTCCTTTAGAAAGCCTATTGAATGAACATACTGGTTATGGAGTAAAAGGATTTGTCCTTTTATGGCACGGGACCAGTAAATAGTAGAACTAAATGGACAATTTTCTCAGTGGAGGGCCTGATGCTTTTTAACTGAGACATAAATTATGTTGACAAGGGTAAACAGTGAGCTGGCCAAGTTTGTGGATGATACTAAATTATTCAGGGTGGTAAAAACTAGAAGTGATTGTGAAGAGCTCCAGAAAGATCTCTTTAAACTGGGAGAATTATCAAAGGGCAAAAGCAGTTCAGTTTAAGTAAGTGTAAAGTGAGGCATGTTATTGGAACAACCTCCCCTACCTGCACATTCATAATGATGGGGATGGTCAGAAAAAAGATATTGGGGTCATAATGAATAACTCAGTGATGATGTCAGCTCAGTGTGTAGCAGCTGTGAAAAATGCAAATTCCATGCTAGAAATCATTAGGAAAGAGACTGAAAATAAAATTGCAAAAATTGTAAAGCCCTTATTGCAAATCTACTGTATGTCCATATCTGGATAAGTGTTC